TTGAGAACATGTATATTTTTATCTGTATAAACCACTGTATGAGTTGCTGCCCCCTAGTGACTGGAGGCTTTTTTATCATTCATGCATTACAGCAGTGGTACACTACAACATTTATATATATATATTTATTTATTTATTTTTTTTAATTTTCATCAGATTTTGTGTTGCAATACATTTGGTCTGCATTACAGCCAGGATCGTCTATGTTTGCAAACTGTACTAAAAAAAAAAACATTTAAAAAAAAACCCAACAACAACAGAATTACACTTTGTCAGGCAGATGCCAGGTTGTTTACAGCTCCTACCTAGCTGCCATTTACTAGGACACATGGTTTGCATCATCCAGATAGGCAGTGTTGGTTCCATCATTGCAATGCCCATATTTCCAAAACAAATGGCACCTGAGGATTCAGATTGATCAGTTAATCTGTATGAACCATATAGCAATCTTACCTCCAGGTATTTTGTACGGTATTGCTGCTTCTTGTCTCACCTGCTGCAATTAAAATATATGGATCTTTCATCAGTGTCAGCAACGATGAGCCCTTCTGACTCTGTAAGAAAATACAAAAAAAAAAAGAATTAAAAGAAATAAAATATATATAAAAATCTGTTTACCATAGATGGTTTTCTTTTAAATTAAAAACCTAGTTTTTGTTATTTTAAATTGGAGAAGAATGTATCAGATGTAAATGACATGTATTAATGAATCTAAATCGAGAATAAATTGAAACGTACCTCTGGTTTAACCTTCGTGGGCCGAAGAACACAAAGTTGCAGTGCTGCAACGACATATTCAAGATCACTTTCAAATCTTAATGATGTTATTTTTATTTTCTCATAGCTCCACTCCCATTGTCAATTTTTGATTTCCGTGTTGACTGTGCAACCATTGAATGAAAAATAAAAAAGCACAGTGACTGTACCTCCGTCCAAAAGAGCCAGGGAAGCCAGAATAAGGAAAGGAGCTGTCTCTCCAACAAACTGATATATCACACTGCCAAATGTGGGCCCAACTGTGAATGAGAAACAGACGCAAAGCGGTGATGGTTACTGTTGCCTGTACAACACAGCTCAAAATACAGGATTCAAACCATTTTCAAGTTGCTGTCAGATAACGCGGTGATTCTCAACGGGTGGGTGAACAAAAAGTGACAAGCTTGTCGTTTCAGTGGGTTGTGGTAAAAAAAAAAAAATGTTGAGGGGAAAAATCAGCAAAAAGAGTCATGAAGCCATCAAAAACAAGAAATGTCATTCAAAGCTGGATTTTGCATTTGCTAAAAATCAGTTTACGGAGACACCACGGGCACATATACCGTAATTTCCGGACTATTGAGCTCACCCGAATATAAGCCGCACCCACTGTATTTCAAAAGAAAGAAATAATTGTTCATATATTGGCCGCACTTCTCTATAAGCCGCAGGTTTCCCTGTTGTAACGTGGCATATTTACACAGAAA